CAACAGGTAAGATTACTAAAAGTAAACTCCTCTCTTCGGAGGCTGCAGTCATTCAACATCTGCTCTAGGCTGCTGCACATGTTCTACCAATCAGTAGTAGCAAGTGTCCTCCTCTGTGCTGCGCGTTGTGCTGGAGTAGCACCAGTAAGAAAAACATCTCCAGGCTGATTAAAATCATTAAGAAGGCAAGCTCTGTGGTGGGTCTGAAGTTGGCTTCGGTGGAGGAGGTGGCTGAGCAGAGGACTTTGTCCAGATTCAGAGACATCATGAAAAACACCTCTCACCCCCTACATGAGGAGAGGAGGAGTGTGTTCAGCAGCAGACTGCTGTCCCCACGCTGCTCCACAGACAAGCTGACCCCTTCTTTCCACCAGAGCCGTCAGCAGCGCGAGTCGGCCGCGTCTCAGGAGCAGCATGTCGCGGCCTTTACGTGCCGGTTCTATTTTCTACGCTTGATGCCTCTGAAACGGGTCAAGTTCGACATTTTTGGGGAAGGAAAGACAGGAAATCGGACGCGGAAATGGAGCGAGACTTTCAGAATAAAGAACGTGCTGCCTTCCGGTTGCTTTACTTTAAAAAAAGTTACTAACTGTGCGGCCCCGTGAGAAGCTATCACCTAGCTAGCGGTCTCCTTTGTTTTTCAGGTCCGTATTGGCGATTATAAAACGGACAGAACATAAAACACAAACCTTTTGGAGCCCTGTTGTAATTTTCTCCTGCTTGTTGTTGTGTTTACTGACGAAGTCACTCGTGTGACTTCGTGCTCGGCCGGTGACAGCTGCCCCCCTGCTGCGTCGCGTCTCGTGGGAAGGGCCAAGCAGCAGTTTACGCGAGCAAGACGTGCTGCTGCAATAACGTGCTGCTGACGGCTCCGGTGGAAAAAAGGGGTGAGAAGCTCATTTGTACCAGGTGCTGCTATAACTCCCAGCCCAAGCATGAATAATTGAGCTGATCGAGCTGTGAACTGCTTTGATTGGGGTTTGTAACTAATTATGGAGTGTGCTGTATGAATGAGAGCAGTGGCCATAAGGTAATTTCCTGTGGGATCAATACAGTTTTTATCTATCCATCCATCTATGCATGTACGAAAAGTCTGACTTTAAAACTATATGGGTCACAACCTAAAGGAAGTTGTATTTGTATCGTGATATTGAGTATTTGCCAGCGCATTTAAAGCTTTAGTACACTCACTTTTATCCATCACGCTGTACTTTATACCCCTTCCTGGGCTGCCACCTTACCGTGGTGGAGGGGTTTAAGTGAGCCATTAGCTGCGTTTACATGTGCCAAATTTCCTCAATCCGATTGAAATCTTGGTTGATCGGAATTTCCGAATCTCTGTTCACATGGACACGAACTGAAATGATAAATGATCCGCACTTGTATAACACCTATCAGAGTAAGGACTCCAAAGCGCTTTACACTACAGTGTATCATTCATCCATTCACACACACATTCACACACTGGTGGTGATGAGCTACAATGTAGCCACAGCTGCTCTGGGGTGCACTGACAGAGTCGAGGCTGCCGAGCACAGGCGCCACCGGAGAATTCTCTGTCCGGAGCCGGGATCGAACCTGCAATCTTCCGATTACTGGACAACCCGCTCAACCTGCTGAACTACTGCTGCCCAAAAATGATCCGATCATGCCGTGCGTACATATGCATCAAGCATTTAATCCGAATAAATAGGTTGAGCATGCGCAGTTGCCTTTCCCAAAAGAAAAATTAAACAAACGCCATGAAACGAAATGAAAAATGTAAAAACAGAAATAACTATTCTTCCTGCTTTCCTGATCCATTTATTCAATTTAATATTTTTATTTAGCTCATAGAAGTTACGTTTTCTTCAGTGAATAACTGCAGATATATGCTTTGCTGCATTTTATTGTTGATTAAAATAAGGGAGGGTTATGTCTGAAGTGACAGCTGTGCCGTTGCGCTGCGGCACAGAGCGGGGGTGGGGGGGTGGGGGGCTTAGACTCATGTTTTATTACTGAGCTCTGTTGTGGCTTATTATTAATAACATGTGACAATCAGCTGAAACTGTTGAGAAAAATCTGTTCAAACAAAATAACAGAAGATGTTCAGAAAGTTTAGAAGCCTGTGTTCATCATTAACAAACCGCATCTCAGGTCATCTGCGTTTACGTGCTTTTAACACGGACTTTACTGTCGTCCAGAGTATTTAACCGAGGACGTTTTCCTACCCAACATCAGCCTCCAATCACGTCTGTAAAACTGATATTATCCTGTCTTCTTTACAAGCATCTCTGACGTCTCCATCACCTGCTGCAGAAGCTGCTGCGTTCAAAGCTGACAGAAACGGGGATCCGTGCGCTGCAACCCCTGCAATAAACCTGCGTATTTCCAGTACAGATTTGAACATGTTTGTCGAATGATTTGTGCAATAATCAGATTTTTATTTTACTTCCACAAAATGCAAGTTCTGAATTAAATATTACTGAAACGGGGACGGCTTGCCGTCAGAATTTAAAGCTGCCGCTCGTTAATTACGCCGTCATTTTTGAAGTCAGGCAGTCCAAATGACAGCGGAGAGGCCCGCTCGCTGTTGCACACATGCACAGTGGGCATTATTTTACCCCAACAATCCGAATGGCTGTGTACATGCACGTCAATCGGAACGAAGAACGGAATAAACCACCTCTCTCAATCGGATTGAAATTTCAATATGAACGGGCCGAATCAGATCAGAATATTCCGATTGACATGTTTACATGCAGAATTTTCGATCTGATTGGGCATTCAATCTGATTAAATATGCGCATGTAAACATGGCTAATGATTGTAAGAGCTAATGGCACTTACACAGTAGCGTCGGCTCTAGTCCGCCTGGACCGGGTAGGGAGTGTTCTCAAAAATGGACGTCTTTTCAGCCCTCTTCCTGAGGCAGTCTGCCTGGAGTCGAACTGGTCCAACAAGCCCACTGCTGGCTGATTGAGCGGGTCAAATTGATGCCTACCATTAGGGGAAGCCTCTGATTGGCAGATAGAATCAGTCCGCGGGGCTTCCTGCATGTGCCATTCATTATCAGTCTGGATGCTGTGGAGTTAACAAGCTTCTGACTATAGCCGTTTTTGTCTGTCTCTCACTGTTGTGCGGAGCGCGCTCACACACACACACACAAACACGCACACACTCACACACACACGCGCACACACACACACACACTCACACAAACACGCACACACTCACACACGCGCACACACACACACACACACACACACACACACACACACACACACACACACGCACACACACACGCGCACACACACACACAAACACACACAGTGCTGCCAGACACAGTAAAGCAGGATGCGAAATCAGAGTCAAAGAATCTCCTAAAGCAATACTGCTCAGGCCACTTTCATTAATTAATGGAGACACCGCGGATTTCTCCGAGCTCTTTTTCCCTGCCCACATGCATCGGAGATGCACTCATGACATCACTGATATCTATTTTTTGCGCCAACCATGATTTAGAGCCCAACCATGTGATCAATCACGTCCACATTCCTACGGATGTGTGGAACAAATGCAGATGGCTGGGGCGGGCAGTACGGAGTGGAGTGGAACCAATGCTAGTGTGTAGCTCTGGCTCCGGAACCTGTTTCCTTGAGAGGGGTTGGACTTTCTACCACTCTGGGGTTGCCCCCACTTAGTGGGGGTGGGCATACTAGTTGTCTTCCATCTTGGTGCCTGTACATTGGGGTTAACCCCAGTGAACGAGAGGGTAGTCTCCCTCTGCCTACGTGTGGGGCGACAGGTCCTGACTGTTGTCTGTGCTTATGCACCAAACTACAGTTCTGAATACCCACCCTTCTTGGAGTCCTTGGAGGAGGTGCTGAAGACAGCTCCTTCTGATGACTCATTTGTTCTTCTGGGGGACTTAAACGTTCATGTGGGTAACGTCAGTAACCCCGGTTTCCCACTGGAAGAATCAGCGACGCAAAACGGCAGCTGAACGGTTTACTTGCGAACTTCAAAGCAGGTCTTTTCACACCAGGAGAGTCTTGGCAGCGGTACAACTTCCTCGCTGGACTTGTGAGATCCCAAGATCCCTCAAGACTTCAGGTCACAGTTTGTTTATGCAATCTGCTACTCAACCAAAAAGAAGGAAATCACATTGTTATCGCAGTTTGATGCAATATATGATGTTGTTCCTCTCCACTGACAGGAATGAAGCCATGAAAACACACCGCTGTACTTCTGGAACAACGATGTAAGTAAAAAAGCCGTTGGGTCACACGTAAGACTCATATATATGAAACTGCATTGCTGCCGTACTTTTATTTTGAAAATTACTGGCGATTTTACACGGACACGGTGTGATGTCCTGTCTAGCCCTATGCTAACTGCTTCGTTAGCATAGGGCTGCTGGTTTGAAACAATCCATAGACTATAATGGATTCTATTTGAAGCAGTGACATCCCACTGCCATTCCGCACCACTGATGCTTTTAGTGTGAAACCAGGGTTTGACTAAAAAGCATTTTCATCAGAAAAACTACGACTAAGACTAAAACTAAAGTTGCCCACCAAAAACAACAGTGGTTCTCAACCCAGGTTTGATAGCTGCTCATGGCGTGTTTTGATATGTCCCATAATACCTTCATTATGACGAGTTAGTTGACTGAAAGGGAATGTCAGGTTATGCATTTAACCACTGATAGGTACAATGCAGGGCTGCCCCCTTTGCATCCTAGGTCTGTGAGGCGTGGCTATGAACTGTAAAACGGCAGTGATGTTGGGTGTTTATAGCCTAGCGTCATGCTCATTTTCAATTTCAGGCGTGATTAGATGCGTCTTTAGCCAGGTCACACGAGGGCTTAACGTCCCATAGTACCTTCGTTATGTCTTGCTCCTCTTAACAACATCAGCTGGTGTTCATGGATTCTGGTCACTTCTCAATGATGTTCACATGCAATGCCCCCCCCCCCCCCCCCACACACACACACACACACGTGCAACCATACATACGTGTTCTCACACAGAGGTCCCATCCAGGTGGGCGCAGAGAAGCGGGGCATCTGGGGCAGTGTGAGAGGAAGGCTGGGGACTTTGGGAAGAGGAACACTGGCTAGATTGTTAGTTATCGACCTGCCAGGTCAGAACCAGGAACCAGGTGGATCAGGAATCGGAGAAAAATTTAAAGAATGAAAGACAGAAAAGCAGGTGAAGTAGGAGTGGGGCTAATAGGTGTCATACATGTGGACCAATGTTGTCTAACCCTAACCCTGGGTAATAGTAAAGTCAGACCTCACTTTAAACTTTAACCACGTCCGGTTGGGTTCCAGTAGAGCCGCAACCAGCATTACAATCTGTCAGATGTTTAGTGACACAGTCCACAATAACAGCTTCCTATCACAGAATTAGCTATAAAAGGAAAAGACACGTGCACAAAAGTCTGGATCAATTGCTCAGATCTACAATGAGCAGGAATATTTCACTGATGATCTGGTTGGATATTCAGTTAGGTGCTGCATGTGTGTGTATGTGGGAGGAATAAACACAACATCATCTCTAAAATCATTCTCTAATAGTCTAAAAATGAGAAAGGTCAGCTGTGACTAGTAGGAAACACAGATTGTGACAATCTGACTTAAATGTGATTAGTGTGTTGCATTTGCAGTGGTAGCTAGCTAACTGGTGATGGCTGAGCACATCTCCTTGCTGTAGATTAGCCACAAAGCAGGTTTACACAAAATCTAACGCTAAAGCCACCTCGGCTCATTCTTACTTGACGGGCTGCCAGGTCTCCTGCTCGAAGCCGTAGTGGATGGACTGGGCAATGGAGGACTCCATCAGATCGAGGTAGCGCACCACCAGAGGGACGAACACATCCTGCAGATGTTTGTGGAACGATCCATTACAGAGGTGAGCTGTGTGGGGGTCCAAAACAAGACTGGGTGAGAACGACCATTTTTTATTCCGTAACCATTACTCTTTGAATTACAGTTTTAAGACTTTAAGACTTGTTTTTACTTTTAATGTTTTGATACCACAAAATAAAATGTTCAAGAACATATAAAACATCAGTAAACCTCAGCATGAATAAAGTCTGGATGGATGGAGATATGTGCTCTCATCACCGCAGTTACCCCAAAATTCCACTCTCTCCGCTCCGGCACGAACTCCGCAGCAAAAACGGTCCCGTTGTAGTCAATCAGAGCTGTTCCACTACTGCGGCCGTGCCCACCGTTCCGCCATCCGGCAAAAATAGGATCGATCCTATTTTTGCCGGACGCAGGAGCACCTCCGCAGTCAATGGACAGAAATCACAACCACCCAACAGGAAAAGGAGCAAGCACAGCTTCCGTTATTTCACAATAAATCGATAAACAAAAAGCATTTTTGTTTCAAATGCACAGGTTTAACAACTTTTAACAACTATCAATGGCGGCTGAACTTTAAATGCACAAAAGTAAGCCATAAATACAGTTTCCACTATTAAAGTAGTCACACTTTGTTGATCCAAACACTGCTGATCTCTCAACACGAATGATGGGCAGATTAAACAGTTCATGTCGATGCTTCTCCCACACAACGGGTGTTTGGATCTAACTTCCGCGTTTATTGCTCGGACTGTATCGCAAGATCTCGAAAATCCCGCGCATGCCTGTTTGCCCACCTCAGGTCTCCGCACCGGAGCGGAGCCGTTGTAGAGCGGGTATCAGTAAAAATTGAGTTTGGAAGCGAGCGGCTGCGGAAGGCGGGGGCGGACCGGACCGGAGCGGAGGTAGTGGAATTTTGGGGTAACACACATGGTTCATTTTACTGTCTCTTCTGCACACCTGACGTCCTTTCTCAAACCAGGAGCTCAGCATTTAGCGTGCATGTGCAGAAAGCCTGTTGGTGAGCTGTCAAACTGTTGGGAGCCAGTGAGCAACAGGCCTTTAAAATAAGTGAATAAATAATTAATACTGAAAAAATGCACTGATGCTTATATTAGTCAGCTTTATTTAATGCATCAATGCAATAATAACAGGTTGACTTCTTCAGCTCTTTCATATACACACAAGCTTTAGGTTGCTGGTGATGGATCCATTAAGGAGACTGATGGACGTTCTCTACCTTGTTGAATCTAAGTTACAAAGAATGAGGAAGTTGTGAAGGTAAAAGGCGCTCCGACCCTGAGGGTTACCTAATAAAAGACCTGCTGAGGGTTTGCCTACAATAGACTCCTCTGACTTCAGCAACTCAGCAGAAGTCTTTCCACTCGTGTCAAATTATGACTTTAATGAAGCGTAAAAACTGGTATTCCAACAACAAAGCCGCTCACATTTTGCATCAAGAGCTTTTATATTTTAACTTGACAGATCTGGTGGGAAACCAGCTTTTTGTGAGGGAGCGACCTTGACAAGCTGGCACAGATTTCACAAATGAAGAACTTCTCATATGTAAAAACAACTAAATAAATCAGTAAAGCAAAAGCTAGAAACCGCAGCAGGGTTTAGATTTGACGGGTGTTGGTGACACCGTGCACATCCCAGTGACAATCCTCCCAGCAGGCTTCAGAGAAACAAATAAATCCTCCCAGACGAAGCCAGGAGCTGGTCGGCAACAAGGAGAGACAAAGGGAAGGAGTGTTGGGTAGAAGCGCGTCTCGCAGGACTTCATTAGTTTTAATTCCTCTCGCTGCGCTCCGTGATGATTAACACTAGCCTTTTCGCCCTCCTGAGAGCGAGACTTGCCTCCCCCATAACCACTCGCCTTCAAATGCTGACAATCAAGTGAGCATTTAAATAATCTGCAGCGCAACTCAGAGAAGGAGGGCAAAAAAACTGAATGAGAGTCACCTGAGATCAGCTGGCCTGTTCCCACCCAGGTTTTGTTTTTAAAGGTCTAAATTATTACAAATAAAAGAAAGAGTGAAGAAAACTGGGATCCTAATGCGATCGACGGGCAAACGCTTTTGTAGTTTTTTTTATCCGACTGGAATTCCTGCCGTCCCTTTTGTTTCACTTTATTCATAATTACCAGAGGAAGGACCTCATTTGTACAAACAGAAGTGTGTTTTTGCTCGGTCCGTGTTTTGTCTCCATCTATTGCCTCATTACTCTCCAACTCAAGGCAGCTAATGTTGTGACACTTGGAATAATTATAGCATGAACAGAAGATGGTAATTAGAAAAAATATAAGAAATGTGCCACAAAGAAGAGATTTGTGGGTTCTTTACGAAACCAATCAAGTTTTTTGTTCCCAGTATTTCCCTTGGGCTGTCTGTCTATCTGCCTGCCTGTCTGTTACTGTGGCTGAAGTATTTGGGCATCAGCCATGTTAAATAACGCCTCACATCTCGCCAGATCTCTACTGGCCCAGAGACAAAGCGCCACAGTCGACCGACGGCTTCACGAGAATTCACTCAGCTCAGATTTTTTCCTTCTCTCCCATCGGTCACATCAAAAGTACGCAGTGAGGCTCGGCTTATTGGGGAAGAAAATATTTCAGCACTCTGAAGTGGCGCGGTGCGGCGCTGAGGTTTGTTAAACATCAATCTGAGGTTTCCACAGTCACTTCTTAGGTTTTTGTTTTCCCACACAATGACAGGACCTTGACGTGTGAAGAAGAAAAAAGATGACAAAAACAAGTGGGCCTTCAAAAACTGTTTCCCTAACCCTGAAATCACGTCGAGTGTTGCTTTGTGGGATATGTTCCAGATGGTTCTCTATTCACAAACTGACAAAATATCTCCTTTTCATCCCCGGATAGTTCTTTATCTGCAGCTCCCACTTTGTATCGGTGCACAACAGCGAGTAAAGACTGACGGAGTCTTCCCTTGACCTCAGCTCTCCCTCCTGTTTTATTTTGCACCGTAAAGAATTTCAGATGCACTGATGTTCCTAATGTGTTGTTAAAGAAAAATCACTGAAACATTTTTAGAGCTCTGAATTAAGAGTCAATGGGCAAAAATAATAAAAACTGAATCAATAAAAGGAATTACGTCAAAATCCATCCATCCATTGTCTGAACCCGCTTTGTCCACGTAGGGTCACGGGGGGGCTGGTGCCTATCTCCAGCGGTCAGTGGGCAATCAGGCGGGGTACACCCTGGACAGAGAGCCAGTCCATCGCAGGGCAACACAGAGACACACAGGACAAACAACCATGTACACACACCCTCACACCTAAGGACAATTTGGACAGACCAACCAACCTAACGGTCATGTTTTTGGACTGTGGGAGGAAGCCGGAGTACCTGGAGAGAACCCACACATGCACAGGGAGAACATGCAAACTCCATGCAGAAAGATCCCAGGCTGGGAAGCGAACACAGGACCTTCTTGCTGCAAGGCAACAGCTCTAACCACTGCGCCACTGTGCAGCCCCGAATTATGTCAAAATGATTCATAAATGTAACAATGAAAAGGTCACTTTTAGCAAGTATACAGCAGTGGAAACGCCAACGCTCGCTTCAATACACATTCATGGGCCTGGAAGTACTTTACTGGGAAATATCCCAAGTTTTTTGATACTTTTTCTTTATCAGTGTTGCTTAAAGTTTATTGATTTCTGTAGAAATCCTCAAGTTCCTCCACCCAATGGTTTAAGACCCTCCACAAGGTCCCAAACCAGACTTTCAGAACCAGTGATCAGCCCAGAAGTAGCTGGTGTCTTTACCTTAGTGACTTAAAGTTGACTACCCTCAGAAGTACAACTACCCTGCACAAACAATCCTTCATCATCAAGTTTAACTAGAAAAAAGAAGTAAGAGATTTAAAAACACAAAATAAAGGAATAAACTCTAGATGTCAAACAAAGAGATCCAAAGAAGGAAGAACTAAGATGCATAAATAAGTAACTAGATTATAAAAATGTGTCCTAAAACGCAACTTAAAAAGTAGAAGTCAGGTGGACTGTCTCACCACTAGGAGGAGGTCCTTCCAAAGCTTTGGGCCGGCATGACCTAAAGCTTGTTCACTGCACGCCTTGTAACCCGCTTTTGGGACGTTCAGATGTAGGTGGTCAGCTGATCTGAGTTCATGAGACGGTTTGTAGGGTGTGATAGGCTGTGTGAGATATGAGGGTGCCAGGTTGTGGGTGGATTTAAAAACAAACTGGAGAATTTTGAAGCTTAACTAGGGCCCCGCAGGTGGGGGCCTAGGGCTTGAAGGGCTAACTGAAAGAGTGCTAGTGGCCACAGTAGATCAGCTAAAATGGGTGTAATGTGAGAACGCCTGTTTGAATAAATGAGAACTCTTGGTGCCTCATTCTGAACTTTCTGTAGTCGGTAAAAAGCAGACTTGTTTACACCTAGCAGAGTGGAACTACTGTAATCTAGTTGTGAAGTGATAAAAGCTTGTATGACCGACTCCAGGTGAGGTCTTTTAAGGATCTGCTTAAGACGAGTTACGCGACGTAATTGAAAGAAACAAGATTTGAACGTGGAATTTATCTGAGGCAGCACGGTGCGATCTGAATCCCGTTTAATACCCAGGCTGGTGGTTCAAGGCTTGAGCTTGACTGCAAGTGAGGACAGGTCAAGGTGTTGGTCAGGACTTGGCTCTGGTGTGAAGACAACAGCACCGTTTTTTTTGTAGGAGGTTGGAGGAAAACACATTTTAATTTTGGTAAAACACACTCCTGAACACAGACCGTGGAAGAGTTTAGGTTGACATAGTAGATTTGACAGTCATCTGCATACATAAATACTTCTGACATTGTACTTTGAACACACTTTGTAGGTTGATTTGTATGCTTGTGTTAAGCCTTCCTCCAGTGTTTCCATCATTTATGCACACAAACCAACAGCACACAGTTAACGCTGTAGTTCCCTTTGAAATGAAAGACGATAATACAGCATTTGATTTGTTCTCTTACCATTGTGAAGAAATACAACCTCAAACAAGACTTACGCTCAGCTTGAAGGAAGTTGTTGAGCAGCTGAAATAACGGGAAGCTATTCCAGCAGTCGACAGGCTGGACCTGCAGGACAGAGTCCATGTCCACTCTGTAGAGGGACAGAAAGGCCTCGGCGTGCTCAGCCATCAGATCCGGCCACCAGGAAAATGCCTGGTGGAGACAAGTGTTGACATTTAACACACTGGGCTCAGTCCCCTTCTATAAAGGGCTACTGTAGCTCCTTCAGCTTAATGCAATTTATTTATATGGTGCCAATCCACAACTAAAGGACAACGGCACTAAAATCAAACGTGTCCTATAAAAAAGCCTCCTCCATTTTCACTAACAAGTACTTTTAAGGTGGAATTACAAAACTTTCCTGGACCTCAGACTGGTAATTATGTACATAAACGAAATGTACTTCTATGCACAACATTTTTATTTCACGTCCTTGCCTCCTAAATGTTTATTTTCCTGCCTACACCAGTCTCGGTTACAGCGTGAAGTACTTTTACTCTAGAAACCTTAAAAATTCCAAACGAAAAACAAACCCTGTTGATGGTTTTCCTACACTGGTGATTTCACATGAAAATGAACAGTTTAAAAGACCAAAGAATGATCAGAACGGTTTGTTGACAGCAGCTGACTGAAAAGGTATATTTGAAACGCCTGGTGATTCACTCCTCAAGGCCACGAGCACAAGGCGCTACATGCCATTTCTCTTTACCCGTCTTGCATCTCTGCTGCTGCTTCTTCCTTTGAACAGAAACACTGACCTCAGGACATCGGAGTATGATTCAAAGCTGGTTGCACTTTTCTCTTTGAGGTCCTTTAACCGCCGCTACTAGAGGTCACTTGAGCAGGCTGACCTCGGTCTGCTGGAGAGCCTTGATGCTCTTTAGATAGAGTGAATTGGCAGCTACTTTCACCATGACACATGCGAACTATCTGGAGCTGGTTTATTGGTTTAAAAGCAGCCAGCAGTCACAGCAAGTGAAGATGCCTCACATCTTCCTCTGTTCATTTAGACATCAGCTGCTTTTAACGGGTTGCTTGACTAATCTGATTGTGGTCATCTAGACCCGGTTCAGACCTTTGACACCGAACAGAAGCAGATTTGTGTGAAATTTATGATTCTGATCAGAGAGAGGGGATCTTGAACCTGCAGTGTCTCAGTAAAGGCTGATCTGTGAAATATAAACTACATTCATTATATACATGAAAATCTGAATGTTTGCATAAAGCCATGACCAAACGTTTGGAGAAGGACCCGAGGACTGGTTTCACTCTGAGAAATCCTTATGGTAGCTTTCTGCACCACACTGGTGTACATTTATAAGCATTTCGCACACTTTGGATGTTTTCCTGATGATTAAATGAAGATTATGCAAACGGAAAACACCTGCAGTGGTAATCCTTCTGTTTCTAGACCTCTACAGTTCACCCTGACATGTTTCAATCAGCTTCTGCTCCAAATCCTTGCTAAGGAATCTATGGGTCAGACATCAGCCATCACATGATCGTGAATGCCCATAAAAGCCTTGATTGCTCATCTCGATGCTCAGTCATCTATTTCACCAGTTCACACCACGAGCTGCTTTCCTCTCAGCACTGCTTCCAAGCAGCTCTCTTTCCAGTTTAAATCCACAGAACTACGTAGCGTTCCGTGTACTGAGATTTAAACGCCCATCTGTTTACACCCGACACTAGCACTTCTGTGTCTGGGTCCTAACCGACACGCCCCGCTCTAACAGGTCCGTCCTCGTTGGCCAGCATGAACCCCAACACGACGCTTGAGGTTCGGCAGACGATTGTGTGTCGTCAATAGGATGGACCCCAAGATCTCATCAGGATTAAGGTCTGGAGAGTAACCTGAAGACCTTTGGGCCCTTCTCCAGACACCAGATGCTCCAAAAATTCAGAAATGACATCTATCGGAAAAAGATCCTCACATTTCAAACCTATGACTATGTCCAAAGTTAGTTTTATTCAAGTTTGTTTTAAGAAGTTACATGCATGCATCAGTGATCAGTGTCACAATAACACAAACAGGAAAGAACAAACTCACCTTGCTTACCTTTCAGAAGCAGAAGGAAATAAGAGACAGAAAAGACACAATAATCAAAAACCATCTGTTAAATGCTGCTTCTTCACCTCCGCAGCTTGTTCTTCACATCATACCGAAGCAGAATTATGTAGTTACCGTGATCATATTAAACAATCTGAATGTGTTCAAAAGCACAGGAACATTCACTACTTCTGTCTAGATGATTCATGTGTTTGAGATAATTAACCTAAATTTAATCCTAATCTAAATAAAATGTCTCCACAGCGATCAGACACCAAATCAGTTGGAACAGCATCAAAACCCAGTAAGTTATGTGGCTGACATGATCCAGGTAAACAATTACAACTTCTACATTTTAATGGAGAAAATTTTGTGGCGTCGCTCTGACAAAAAGCCTCTAATTTGTTGTTCACATCATATGTGTGGCGTGGAGCAGAGAGCCACTGGTTGTCATGGCAGCAGCAGAGAGCAGCGTGTTATTAATAGTGCAGAAACAGATGCCTGAGCGCCTCGCTGCCACTAAAGGCCGATGAAACTGCCACATCTCAACACCTATGATTGATCAGTTTTACACCCTGGCATCAAACTGCAGGCACATATGGGCCGTGGGCGTTGTTTTCATCTCGTCTCTGCTCACAACGTTAATGCAGTCCTGCCACTTGCTGCATCATCTGCCACTTCAACTCAACTGCTGCCAACTGAAGCTAAGTAAGAAATCGAGCGACGATGCAAAAAGTGATCAAGAGCATAAACGAAATGATTAAATGACTTGAGGAACTTTCATTGCTGACACTCGGAATTAAAAAAAGACAGCTGAGTTTCTCTTCAGAGTTAAACAACTTGTTTAAAGTCCAAGAATGGAAAACAAGTCAGATGATATCTGTGCAGACGGCCTTTTCCAAGTAAAATGGAACACACACACCTAACTCTGCAGATGCGTTGAAGGTGTGACATCTTCACCAGTAAAAGCTCACTCTGTCCAAACTACCTGGGGAGTTTAGGTTCAACAAACTTTATATTTATATGAATCCATAAACTCTCAGGTAACTCTAACTTCATCGTGTTATAAAAAAAACTTCACCACATCTATCATGGGTGGGGATAGAGTGCTGCCCTAGTCATGTGTGTAAAACAGTAAACAGCAGAAGCGTACGTCTGAATATCCCTGACATTTATGGGGATTCAGTCTGGATCTCAGTCAAGTCCCTTGGATAGACCTCCTTTGGGCTGGTGTCAAAGCTCACCAACATCCAGTCAGTGTGAAAGTAAGCTTGTATCTGAGGATCCACAAAGCATGAATCAGCTGCTGCTCCACCCTGAGCTGAGCTTCTTCTTCATCAGGTTTCTTCATCATCAGCTCGTGTTTCAGCCAATAAGCACCTGACAGTTTGGGCTGATGTCCAACAACCAGCGAAAGAGCAAACCAAACCACATCTGTTACCATGGTGATAGACTCCTCGTCCTACTGGAACAGAAAAACTCAGGGGGAACTCACTCAACGTGTTCCCACCACTCCTCTGGAGTTTGGTTTACCCATCAGAGTTACAGAGACAACAAAAAACCCAGACCTCCACTTTGTCCTGGGGATCCCAAGTTGTCCTTAGGCTGAAGAAGATCAGATGAGTCGTCATCTAATCGCATGTCCAAATCATCTCAGCAGACCTCTATCATTAAGGAGGAGCAGCTCTACTCTGAGCCCCCTGAGGATGATGGAGCTCCTCTCTTCGCCTCCTACAGCTGAGCACAGCCTCCTTCCTGTTGAAAGTGATCTTGTTTTTCTATCATAATCTGAATCTCATGACTGTGTTGGGCGTTGGAGTGTAGAAAGAACAGGAAACACCCTCAGAACTGCAGATGAAGCCTTGCTGGCTTCCTCCATCTCTCCTTCATCCAACCATCAGTCATGAAGAAGATACCAGAGTACATTAACTCCATACAAATACTCGCCACACACATCAGAGTTAAACCAAACTACGATTAGCCTTTTAACCCGTTTCCAGCAGCGTGTTAAAGTCAGCTGTTGTGCTTTTGCTGCACTTGGTGAGTTTGTATCCTTTCACGTGGGCGAAGACGCACACACGAGACAGCAGCTGACGCATTCACAGATTCCAACCTCTACACGAACGCTTGGAACAAGCAGCAAAGCAGAAAAAGTCACAAGAAACATAAACAGGCCGTCACTCCTGCTTTACCACACACGCAGGAACAGCTTTTCATTTGGTCAGTGTGAGCAGCATGGGCTCAGCATAGGGACGGATTTGCAACAGCGTTTAAAAATGGAGACCTAATCTGCAAAAACAAACAAACAAAAACAACTAACAGGAGCTGGAAACATCACAGGGGTTAGATCTGGCAAACCCCTTTTGTAACTGATGGTTAGTGAATCAAAATAAATGAAACAGCATAAATAATAATGGAACATATCCTGTTGCCACTGTGTTTAGCTAACAGTTGTATTATTTTACAGCTGCAGTTTGCTTTGAAACATGTCTGAGATTCTCTGTTATTTGTAATAACATCTAAACAAACAAGACTGAAGGGATACCTCTGAATGGTGCTCGTCGTTCTGCTGCAGGACTTCCATGCAGAGCTCTCCCAGCCTCAACATGTCCTCCAGCCGCTTCTCTGCTGCTTCCTGAGGGTCCACTGAAGGTTTTCCATACAATGAGACAAATGCATTATTAGAAATGTTCTACTTGACCCAATGACACCACGCTGCAGCAAGAACATTTTCATAAAATTATATCCCAGAAAGTTTTATTAAATTATTCCTTAAATACCTTTTCCCCAACACGATAAAGACATATTTAGAAAAAAATATAGATATTAGGATTGTGTGGCCTGTGTGAGACACACACACACACACACACACACACACACACACACACACACACACACACACACACACACACACACACACACACACACACACACACACACACACACACACACACACACACACAGTTATATTTATAGATCACATTTTCTACACAAAGGCAACAAAGAAGGACAAAACAAACAAAAATGAACATAGGATTACAAAACATTGATTAAATACAATTTAACTCTTAATGTGAGATTTGGACAGTTGACCACAGGAGTAAACTTTAGACTAAACCTCTACAATCCACACAGAAACTCCACAGTAAACTGAACTGGTCCAACAACACAGATTTTATAAGAAGGGTCAAAGCTGCCTCCACGTCTTGAGAGGCTGAGTTAACTCCCAGATGCTAAAATACTTTTATCACTCTGTTGTTGGCTTTGTTATTGTAGGGGTTTTCATGTGTCTTGTTCTGAGGAGAGGCTTCCAACAGGCCAGTCTCCCATAAAGCCCTGATTGGTGGAGGGCTGCAGTGATGGTTGACTTTCTACAACTTTCTCCCGACTGCTTCTCTGGAGCTCAGCCACGGTGATCTTTGGATTCTTCTTTATCCCTCTCACCAAGGCTCTTCTGCACCAGCAGCTCAGTTTGGCTGGAAGGCCTGCTCTAGGAAGGGTTCCGGTCATCCCAAATAACTTCCATTTAAGGATTATGGAGGTCACTGTTCTGTTAGGAACCTTAAATGCAGCAGATATGTTCTTCTAACCTTGGCCAGGTCTGTGCCTTGCTACAATTCTGTCTCTGAGCTCTTCCGGCAGTTCATTTGACCTCACGATTCTCATTTGCTCTGACATGCACTGTGAGCTGTAAGGTCTCATATTGATAGGTGTGTGGCTTTCCTAATCAAGTCCAATCAGTAAAATCAAACACAGCTGGACTCAAATGAAGGTGTAGGTCCATCTCAAGGATGATCAGAAGAAACAAAAATCACCTGAGTTAGATAGACACTCAGACCTCTAAGGTCTAGTCCACACGTAGCCGTTTTTTTTAAAACGAATATCCGCCCCTCCAAAAACTTGCATCCACACCACCTCGTTTAAATAAAAAACTGTCCACACGTACCCGGATAAATACGTTGTTAAGGACATGCCAGACCTGTAGGCGGCAGTACTTCCCCCGAATTGTATCCAGTCAGCGTAACTTTTCGTCTTCCTGCTTAAGTTCAACAAAACATGAAACATGGCGCCTAACTCATTCGTCTGTGGTCTTCCGCAAGGAGCAGTAATTCTGCTTGCAAAAACAAACAAGCAAAAAAGCGCTTGGACAATTGATAAAGCGAGCGCAGCTCTGAGGGCATCCATGCTGTCTGCTAGTGTAAACACAGGTCGCACACGTGATGTCAGCATTTTTTTGTTGCGGAAAGTGACGTTGCGGACCTTAAAACTCCGGTTTTGTCTGTCCACACGCAGACACCCAAAACGGAGAAAACGCAGATCTTCACGTTGGCCGGAGTTTTTAAAAAGATCCGTTTTCGTGTGAAAAAACTCCGTTTTCGTGTGGATGACAGGCCGAAACGTAGAAAAATATCTACGTTTTGGCAGATCCCCGGCTACGTGTGGACAGGGCCTAAGTATGCCCTCAGTGACCACTCTTGAGGGAAACATCATAGAGGTGGTCCACACACACGCTGCTCCTTCTTCATGAAACAGGCTGCAGGAAAACTGGAAATTAACCGAGTTTATCTCCTTGAATACATTTAAAACCAGACGGAGAGCCCTTGAGACGTTTCCCCTGTGTTGTAACGGCCTCCTGTAATTTTGTACACAACATGTCTGTGGAGCTGAAACATAACTGTAATTTTGCTGCCTCTTGGCCAGGACTCTCTTGAAAATGACTTTTTTAATCTTAATGGGACCTTGCTGGTTAAATAAAGAATAAATAAATACATATGTCACAGCTAAGCGTCTGAATACTTAGGACCATGTGATATTTCAGTTTGTCAATTTAATTAGATCTGCAGTAATGTCTCAAATTCAGTTTTTTTTCTGTCAACATGGGGTGCTGTGTGTACATTAATGAGGAAAAAATGAATTTGATGTTAGCAAATGTCTGCAATATAACAGAGTGAAAAACTGATGGGGGTCTGAATACTTTTGGCCCTGACCAGCCCCTGTCGTCTGAGCATCAGCTGATCCTACTGCAGCTAGTGTTGTCCTTCCAGCTCGCCATGATGCTCCTCACAAACTGTTTCTATGACTTAAAACTCTGGGTCACATGAAAGTAATGTGTTTTGCTCCATGGGTGGGATGTGGGGATGCTAATGTTGCTATGTTGGCTAGAAATGCATGTAGGACTCAGACTTAAGCACAGCTCAACCCTTTTGCTGCAGCTGCAAACACATTCATCCATAATCTTTGAGAACACTACGCTGAACAAAATACAGCTAATCATGGAGTAGCACCAAAAGCTAGCCACTGTAAGACGTCTCTGAGTGAAGCATGCAAAATACAGTTCTTCACTGCTTAAATGAGAGAATTTAGATTTTCATAATGATTTATGACAAAATTCTCTAATAAAACGAAACACTGAACACAATTATTCATATAGATGGTAAAGTTACACTGAATTTCTACACATTTCAAGCAGAGTCTGGCCAGTATCTTTAAGATCAGCATGGTTAAAGTCACCAGCATATATGAATATGAATGCAGTCAGGGTGTTCATTCTGTTGTTTATGTATAGCAGTTAGCAGATGACCAAGTGCTAACTTAGCATTAGCATCCGGGGAGGATACAGGCAGCTGAGGATAAGAACAGAAAACTCCCTAGACAAGAAGAAACGTTTGTTAAAAAGAACATCCTTTAAAATAAAACGACAGGCGATCTGCTGTCACCTTTGATCTGAGCGTAATCCATAAGCTGGGTGTAGTTGATCTGAGCTGCCTTCTCCAGACACTTTTGGACCAGTTTCTTCATGTCCTCTGATGGAACAGGAGTGGTGATGTCTCTCATCAGAACCTGAAACAGCATGATGACATAGGTTTACACACTGTAGCATCACGGGCTCTTTCTACTGGAACTAATAACTGGATACGGTCTGTTACACATGATGTTGGGTTTGCTTGGAAAACATTGTGTCTGTGATCTTAGTCGTTTACTCTCATTGAGACATTCTATGGAGGACCCACTTGTAAACGAGATGGCTCATCTCAAGTGGCTGAGCCTCCTAAAAGAAATGTAAAAAAATCGAATAAATAACACATTTTACTACAAACCAATCCCGAGTGAGCATCCACGGCATCGGTTCCTTTTCAAAACCAACCCAAACCCAGTATGTGCTAAAATAACCCTTAACACGGTTAATGAAATGTCACTCACACCCCCACCGTCCTCTGTGGTCTGGATGGTGTCTGCTCAGGAATGGTTTGGAATGGCTTTGGTATCGACTGTGGATGATTTACACTTGGACTTTTCTTTGAGACATCAGCCGCTAGAGGTAGTTAAATCCTTTATTTAGAAGCTCAGGAGGTAGAGCGGGTTGTCCAGGAATCGGAAGGTTGCAGGTTCGATGCCAAAGCTGCTGTTCTGTCCTTGGGCAAGACACTTAACCTACTTTGCTTTCTGGTGGTGGTTGGAGGGACCGATGGCTCCAGTGTGTGAATGAGTGAATTACTGATTGTGTTGTGAAGCGCCCTGGGGGGTAGTAGAACCCATTTTAATGTTCAACCTTGTTTAGTGGACTGCCCCATTGGCAGATTTCTGTAGTGAGGGATATGTCATGTTGTTCGATGCTCTGATTGGTCGTAGCTCTGTCCAATTGCATGCAGCGACAGTGAAGAACATTTGAAGCCATTTTGAAAACGTCTTGCTGATTGTCTGTACATTTGTGGCCAACAGTCACAGCCCGGTGGCTTTAGGGTCAATTTGATCTCTTTACAGATGATTTTTGGTAGCACGTATGATGAAAATGGCTCCTTCCCACAAAAAGGAAGCAGAGCCCAGAACGAGGGGCATTAAAACCTGAGATGAAGCTCAGAGAGTATGAGGCTCCTCTAACTTACCCTTTCTAGCAGTGAGAGCGTTGCTTTCAAGGCCCCATCTGGTCGTCCAAAAGGAAAGCAGTACCTGCAGGAGCAAAACACAGACAGGCATCACATTTAGACATATCTCAAGGACATCCCCATGGAGGAAAGAAAAAAAGAGGAGAAGAATAGGAGACATGCATTACATGTTAGTGAGCACAAACAGATGGCTGCCTTCTTTTGTCTAATTACTCTGATGAAGGAAGCTTTTCTCACTTCCAGCTCCGTCTGCGCACAGATGAGGCAGTTCATGAAGGTTTCACGTTGCTAATTGACAAGTGAACAGTACTTAAAAAACAAAGGAAAGTGGTCACACAGGTCAGCCATCTCGGAGACAAAAACCAACAGGCAGATGTTCTGTTCTAAGGAACAAACGTGATCAAACTGAATGGATTAAAAAACACTATTAGGGAGGACTTGGTTTGAAAATTCAGCACATCGGAAAAGCAAAGTCAAAGTTCATGATGTTCATTTAAAAAGAAAAAGAAAAATCCATTAAGGAACAGAAGTGATGCGTGTGTGTTGTGTGGAAGTGTTAAAGGCACATGAGCATCTTTTAAAGCGTTCGATATGGAACAAAGGAGCATAAAAGGAAGCATTTATTGTAAAAACATTTAGAAGAACAGTGGATTTATTTTAATCAATGAAAAAGAAAAAACTAAACATAACCATTTAGAACATTAAGCATGTTTTATTCTTACTTGTTTTACTATTGTTGCATTTAAAAGATTTGATCTTTAAAGGTTGGTTTCTATGAAAAAGGTCATCTGCTCTTTGAACAGCCTCCGGATTGATCAGCTAACAGCTAGTCACAGTGGGGCCAGAGTGTGTAATCTTAACTATTCTCAACATTTTCACAAAAGGGACATAAAAATACTACTTTATTAACCCTTACGCTGCCATGCCCTTTGATGGGTGTTTCAGCAGAAATATTTTAAAGGAAAAACCTAAATAAGTGGAAAAGTTTCATGTTGAAGTAGAAGCACTACAATTAATTAGCTAGTGCTGCTAATTTCAGCTGCAAATGACAACAATATGGGGCAAAGGTGGCAGAGAAGTTAAGGGTAGTATTAAGTTACCACCTTAGTTAAAGCACCAAATAGTTTGCGAGCGCGGCCACAGCTGCAGCTCACTGTTCCCCTCCATGCGGATGGATCAAATACGGAGATGAATTTCACCAATGTGTGACCCAAAAGAGGGGAGGGTTCACCCCCCCCGGCCTGCTGGTGGTGTTTGGAGGGACCGGCGGTGCCCGTGATCGGCAGCCTCGCCTCTGTCAGTGCAATCCATGGCAGCTGTGGCTAATTTGCAGCTCATCATCACCAGTGTGTGATTGTGTGTGTGCATGGGTGAATGATCCATCCCGCCAGGGGTATTCTGCTGTTGTGTCCTTGGGCAAGACACTTCACCCAACTTGCCTGTGTTGGTGGTGGTCAGAGGTGCCGACGGCGACAAATGGCAGCCTCGCCTCTGTCAGACCTCCCCAGGGCGGCTGTGGCTACACAGTAGCTTACCATCACTAGCGGTGTGTGAATGTGAGTGCATGAAAGCATCTTTGAGTGTCCTAAACAAGTGTTATATAAGTTTGATTATTATTATTATTATTAAGACACCAAAATTCCAAATGGCTGCAACTGAACAAAGACTCAAACATCTGTTTTAATTGCTCAGCAGGCAGATAGGATCACAACAAATCAACACCCGTTTATTACCACCATTCCATTTTAATGTCATCAGTCTCGTACACTTGTTCTCACTGGTCTAGCTCGTCTCGACTTGTCCTTGTTGACTCCCGATGATGTAGCAGATGTGTTCCTTCTGAACCATTAGTGTTCCTATAGCACTAACAAAGGTACAGACTCCTCTTGTGTTATTTTAACTTTCTTGCAACACCTTATGACCTTTAGGGGTGCGGATCCAGCAGTTGATTTCATTTAGAGCTTAGATAAACACCACTTAGTTAAACATTTAATGCTCTCTCATATATATATATATATATATATATATATATATATATATATATATATATATATATATATACTCAACAAAAATATAAACGCCAGGGTGTCCTTTTATTGTGGGCAGTGTAAGGTACACCTGTGCACTACTCATGATGTCAGATCAGCATCTTGATGTGGCACACCTGTGAGGTGGGATGGATTATCTCAGCAAAGCACAGGTGCTCACTATCACACATTTAGACTGATTTGTGAACAATGTTTGAGAGAAATAGTGATATTGTGTATCTGGAATGAATTTTAGATCTTTAAGTCCATCTCATAAAAAATCAGAGCAGAAACAAAAGTGTTGCGTTTATAACACACACACACACACACACACACACACACACACACACACACACACACACACACACACACACACACACACACACACACACACACACACACACACACACACACACACACACACACACACACACACACACACACACACACACACACACACACACATATATTATAAATAAATCTATCCATCCATCCATCCATCCATACATACATACATCCATACATATAATACAGGCTAAAAGTTTAGACACACTTCTCATTCAATGTGTTGTCTTTATTTTCATGACCATGACCGTTTAAAAAGGGGCCAACAAGTGCGAAACACCTCTGGGAACTCCTTCAAGACTGTTGGAAAACCATTTCAGGTGACTACCTCTGGAAGCTCATCGAGAGAATGCCAAGAGTGTACAAAGCAGTCATCAGAGCAAACGGGTGGCTATTTTGAAGAAAACAGAATATAAAACATGTTTTTAGTTATTTCAAATTTATTGGTTGAATACATAACTCCTGTCTGCCCTAGGGCCAGATGGAGGGCCCCTCTCAGGCGTTTCATAGTTTTGATGCCTTCAGTGAGAATTTACCAATGTAAACGGTCGTGAAAATAATGGAAACACGTTGAATGAGAATGTTTAAACACTTCTGTGAGGTGGATGTTAAACATTAATAATTATCTCATTATAATGTGTATGGGTATACCGAGAGATTAACTTGTTAAATCAACACATAATGACCTGGAGTAGTTAAGATCTGAAATGGATCATTGCAAGAAAGATATTCATTTTGAAGCCGTCACTGATTAAAGCACAAATTATTCACAGATTTGATTTAAACATCTTGTTCATTCAACTCATTTGATTATTTCAACCTATAAGTTGTAAAGTCACTTAGGGATTTTGAAGAGTTTGAACTTTATTCAGAGTGAGGATGCAGAAGTTTTGGCTGCATGAGACCTTGACTGAGAACGTTATGTCTCAGGACTGGAGCACAGTTCTTGTTTTGGGCCAAGCAGACGGTGTGTTTGTGTCTGCAAATGAAAGTTAATTTCTGGTCAATTTGTTGTTGAAAATTTGACCACTAGTATGTTACACTAGTAATAGTTTGGGACAGGTGAGTACTGCTCAAACGCTACATAATGTAGTCAAAATAGATCGCCGCCTGGTGATTAAACCAGTTTTACCTGTTAGTTCATTCTTAGAGGAAACTTGGCTGTTGTCTTGAGGGACGTTAGCATGATCCAAACATTGTTTGCCAGCATTAGCTTCATGTTGAGATGTTTTGTAATGAGTCGTGTATTTCAACCCCCCTTGGGGGGCCCTAACTGGCCCCTCCTGTCTGTCCTAGGGCCAGATGGAGGGCCCCTCTCAGGCGTGAAGAGTTTAAAGCACCAAGCTTCAGGTTAGTTAATTGTACAGGTCCATTCAGATGAGTGATGCTCAAGGTCCCTGGGCTGCCGCTTTCACACCATGCTCACAATAAGTTCACACTGTGGCGGCGAGGCTGAATGGCAAGACACAGATGCTAGCAGGCTTCAGCAGCCACTGTAGATGTGTGCTCTGCACCTGTTGTGCTCCACTGATGGGGCTAAAAATACCCCAACTGCTTGATTTCATCAAGTCAAGGAAACATAATGGTAGCTCTTTATCTGTGATTTATGTTTAGGATAAATAAATATTCATTAGGTCATGTTAATGGTGAAATTGAAATGTTATGTTTCACATTATCATCTGTCATCGTACCATAAGAAGACACATGACGGTGAGCTGAGGAGAGGAGGTCTGCTTCAGGAATCCAGATGTTACACTAAACTAGGGATCACCAACCTTTGTGAAGCTGAGAGCTACTTCATGGGTACTGAGCCACTCAAAGGGCTACCAGGCTGACACACAGTTAAACTAAACTTCATGTGTGATTTAGATATGTTAATGTTGTTTTAACGAGGGTAGTTTTTAAATCTATTTTACGGTATTTGTGAATATTGGAGAAAAGGCCTGTGGGCCCCATATGGTTCCTGTGGGCACCGGGCTGGTGAGCCCTGCACTAAACAAAAGGTTTGCAGCAGAACAATGTTTAAATGAAACCAATGACAGGAGACTGTGTGTGTTTGCAGCCCTCCACAACATCACCAAACCCTCCCAACACTCGGCTCCTCTACATGGAGCCAAATGTTTCACAAAACTTCAGACATCCGTGTTCATACCTAAAATGTGTGATTTGTTTCTCCAGCAAAGCCATGAGTCGACTTCTGACGGACTCAAACTCCTCCTTCTCCTCCACGGTTACGGTTCCCATTCCATCAGGCCTGAGAAAAACAACAACAACAACAACAACAATGATGGTGGGGACTGTGGGATGCATTGATATTAGTTTGTCATCGCTCTCATGGCCCATAAACCCAGCCGTCCCACCACAGAGCAGGACGACACAATCTGTTTCAGTGGAACAGCAACGGCATGAGTATCGTTTAAATTACGTCACATCCACTTTAATTCTAATAAGCTCTCCAACTAAATTATTTCCCCCATTTAACCAAAACAACAATCAAAAAGGAAGCCCGGCTCTCTTTTTCTATTGCGTTAATGAAGTAAAATTTATAAAGTTTATTATCAATGTCATAGGTTTCTCATAATTCCCATGGCATGCACAACACGATTTTAATGGAATCATAAAACAAAACAATAAAGTGAACATGTTAAAATAGAACTAAAAATATTATTTATAAGCTGGATCCTGTTTTTGATTTATTTTTTTATTCTTCCACATTTGTGCAGAATTTCTGATTAATGAAGGTATTACATGAGAGGTCCCCTTAGTCTTACACTTCAAAATAATTTTAACATCTTTTCAGGCATCTGGGAATGTGTGATGTTGAACAATAACTGTTGCCAATGGAATGGAGTGTTTGGTATGCTGATGGCTTTTTGGCACATACACATGAATACCTCCACAAAGCAAACAAAAACATTTCTAACTCTGCACCAGCCGTGAGTCTGCAGCAACACACACATTCATAAGAAAAGTGCTTCAAACAGCAACAAAACATGAAGCTGCTGGCTCCCATCTCATTTTACTAGTCCTACTAACTTGTTTTAACTAAATAAACCTATGAATCAGAAACAAATTCCATCATAACCACACAAATCCACTCATCAAGCACATAGCTACGCTGCTTCATCACAACACACCCAGCCAGCAGTGGAAGGAGAGAAAAATGTTAGTTGAATGCTTCATTAATGTTTTTTAAGCTTCCATTCCCCCTCGCCTTTGTGTGAGTAGGCACTCCGGTGAAAAAGAGAAAAAATGCAATCAGTACTCAGAGCAACCAGCCTTGACTTTCTGGGCATTCTCTGCGGAGCTGAAAGAGAAAAGCAGCCTCTCCAAACGGCACTCGCAACAGCCGGAGGGGAGAAGCGTGGAGGTTGTCTGTTAATGAGTTGTTCATATAAAAGCCTTCAGTGATTCAGCCTCTGACCGCTGCGCCTCGAGTACCAACAACTCTGCTCAGCTCCCGACGACGCGCTTCCAACTCTCTAAAGCCAAAAATAATAGCACAGGAAAAAAAAGGAAAAACCCAGGGAGCAGAAAGTCTAAGAGAAAGTCATGGAAACTTTCTATGAATACACATAATAAACAGGAAATAATAGATTTACCTGATTTTTAAGGGATAAAAACACAAAATTACATTATTTGTTATTAAAATAAAAAAAATACTTCTAATTGTTTTGCTTAAAAATCATTACGTCAAAAAAATGTATCACATGGAAACATTTTTATTGTAGCATCAAATTGGTGTTAGCGTCAAAGTCCTGCAGCAGACATGCTCCAGAATGCTTCATCAGCTTCCCTCCTCTACCTCATCACTCAGGACCGAGAAGCTTTCTTCTTCAGAACTTGTTAGCACAGTTTAGAAACGCTGCCGTTCTTCAAATCTGCCCATTCATCACAGCCCCAACCCCGACTCCCGTGTAGTTGGAAGCGGTTAATCCTGTGGGAACAGAGAGCGGTCACTGGGAAGTTTGGGCGTGTGTGCTCGCTGGTACAAAAGCAAGAAGAGTCTGCTTTCATGTTGAGAGAGCTGAGTGTACAGCTTCATTCAGGCCGTCAAGACTTCTGCCGACAGGCAAAGGAAGACACGAGAGCTGTGATCTGCATGAGGAGCTTGGAGGAGAGAGAGCGATGGATGGATGGAAGGATGGCCCAACCCCCGGGCACCGAGCCATCACAGTAAACGCCAGCTGTCCCGTAATCCCACAATTGCTCAAATGATCAGTCTGCACCTTGTGTGAGATGTCAAAAACTAAAACTGACTGATCAGTTTTGCAGCTCCTAATTATATTGATTTGATTAAAGAAAAAAGGAATGGGATTCTTCGATATTTATCACCGGTACATAAACAAAATTCACTAAACAATTGCAAGAAATGTTCTCATAAACAATCATGTAATGATGGTAGAACGGGCGAGTTAGCCCAGCCACCTCTGAAGCTCCATTCTTCAGGTGAACTCACAGTGGAAAAGTTTAACCACAGACATTAGGCCTCTGTCCCAGAGATCTGCTGTCTGTAATCAAGTGCGTACACTTCTGTAACCAAAAGGTCCGTTTTATTACTTCTGGTCAAATATTGAAGGGAAACCTTTGTGAGGTTAGTTAAGATGTGTCAATATCAAATATGTGTTATATGTGTGTTATGTATGACATACGTGTTATAGACATGAAAGACACGTTAATGCCCAAAGATGATCAGCCATCAGAAACAGTGTGCTCTCTAAACCAAAACAAATGCTGTGTTTATCACCATCTCTCCACAAGCCAGCAATGGCATGGGGAAGTGCCGTAACACAGCTCCTCTCCTGCTTCCTGTCTCTGCTCCAGGTTACAAGACGTCTCCAGGAGAAGACAGGACTCTTAACTTTAATAAAAGGATCACAAGCTTTCTACACAAATATTTTTTGTTTAGATTAATTACAATCATAGAGCAATGAGTATTTCATCTAAAGTGAATTTAATAAGACTTGATTGCTTCAAAGTAATGATTGAATCTAAATAACAGTTTATTGTTGAAATGCATTCTTTCAGATTTAAATATGTTTATGTTTATTTATTTGGCAGATGCTTTTATCCAAAACGACTTACAATTATAACACCTATAGGGTGTGTTGTGATTTAAATACAGCAAAATGAATCTACTTGATGAGTTAATGATGATTTTACTTCCAGTCGTGTCACATAGTAATATCAGTATGTTAACAATTACAGTTATATTATACTTGTACCACGATAGTAAGTGAAATAGTCCCTTATAAGTCTCTCAGGAAAATATGTATGACAGAAGAAGTTAACAGCTCCTACTTTCGCCTGGTCTCTGATTGGTCCAACACAGACCTTAAAAGTTAGAAACACACTCTATTCTAAAAGTTTCAGCCAAAATGCTAATGGAACAGCTGTTGTGGGATCAAGCCAGATGGTACAACAGAACACTTTTAGTGGCAGAAAACCACCCTTCTCAGAACCAAACAACCATTATTTGTTTTAACCTGCAACAACTTCATCAGACGCTAACCAACCCGTCAGCCTACAGCAGAAGCAAACCAAGAGATACCAGAGAGTATCCTCAGACCAGTTGAGCTGTATTCAAGGGACCTTTGACCTTTGAATACCCCAGAAGACCAACATTTGAGACTGAGGGGACTCAACCACTCCTCAGTCTCGTTGAGACCAACTTTTCTTTGCCAGTTGGATCTCCCAGGAGCTCTCATCACTGGTATAGTAGGCTCTGCATCCTGGCGTTGGATGGGAAATGATTAATTGATAACTAATGGAATGTCACTAAATTCAGCCAGATTATTTTTGTAATCCCAGACTTCACATCTTTCCTAAAACACCACACATCCACCTGAAATGGTTTTCCAACAGTCTTGAAGAACTACCTCTTGAAGTTCATCAAGAGAATGCCAAGAGTGTGCAAAGAAGTAATCAGAGCAAAGGGTGGCTTTTTGTGTTTGAAGAAAATAGCACAAATATATATATATATGTTAAATGCATAACTTACTTGTGTTCATATTCCTTGTTTTGATGACTTCAGTGAGAATCAACCAATGTAAATGTTCATGCGGGTACGTGGGTTGCCACCACGACTGGCACCGGCCACCTTGTGACCACAGCTAGCAACAGCCGCCTTAACAATTGCAGAGTGGAACAAGGCCCACTCGGAGTCAATGTCCCCCACTGCTCTCGGGACGCGGTCAAAGCTCTGCCGGAGGTGGGAGTTGAAGACCGTGTTAACAGGTTCTTCTGCCAGATGTTCCCAGCAGACCTTCACTATGCATTTGGGTCTGCCAGGTCTACGCAGCATCTTCCCCTGCCATCTGATCCAACTCACCACCAGGTGGTGATCAGTTCACTCGGGTGTCCAAAACATACGGCCGCAGGTCAGATGATACGACTACAAAGTCTATCATCGACCTGCAACCTAGGCTGCCCTGGTACCAAGTGTACCGATGGGCATCCTTATGTTCGAACATGGTGTTCGTTATGGCCAAACTGCGGCTTGCACAGAAGTCCAATAACGAGACATCACTCGAGTTCAGATCAGGCGGGCCTTTCGTCCAAATCACACCCCTCCAGGTCATGCTGTCATTGCCCATGTGAGCACTGAAGTCCCCCAGCAGGACAATGGAGTCCCCTGATGGAGCACTATCTAGCACTCATCCCAGGGACTCCAAAAAGGGTGGGTACTCTGAACTGATATTTGGCCCATAAGCACAAACAACAGTCAGGACCCGTTCCCCGACCCGAAGGCACAAGGAAGCTACCCTCTCGTCCCCCGGGGTAAACCCCAACACACAGGCAGTGAGTCTTGGGGCTAACAAAAAGCCAATCTCAGCCCTCCGCCTCTCACACGGAAAAACTCCAGCAAAGGAGAGTGTCCAACCCCTCTCAAGGGCTTGGGTTCCAGAGCCAATGCTATGTGTCGAGGTGAGTCCGACTATATCTAGCCGGTACCGCTCAACCTCCGCCACAAGCTCCTGCACCTTCCCCGCCAGCGAGGTGACGTTCCATGTCCCAAAAACCAGTTTCCTTGTCCGGGGATCGGACCGCCAAGGCTCCCGCCTCAGTCTGCCACCCGATCCACACTGCACCGGACCCTTCATGTTCCTCCTGCGGGTGGTGGGTCCACAGTTGGATGAGCCCATGTATCCGGTTCGGGCTGGGCCCGGCCGGGCCCCATGGGTGAAAGCCCGGCCACCAGGCGCTTGCTCACGGGCCCCAACCCCAGGCCTGGCTCCAGGGTGGGACCATGGT